GAACCTGCCCCGAAGTTTGTTTTTCTCCCGTGACGAAACCCAAAGGGGACTAGTGACTTTCTAACATCAAATTCACCTGTTTAAAATGCCATGCGGTTAGAAAAAGTAAATCGCTTTTAAATGGTAAATTCAGTGATGCTAATTTAGCGAGGATGTGACGAGAAATAAGGTCGTCGGTCGCAATTTCCTGGACGACCAAACGGAGGTTTTTCTGACAAAATTTTCTTAAGTTTTAAAATTCTCCGTTAGCTGGTGGAAATTTGAATGCTCCGCATTATTTACTTTAATCGAGGAAATTATAACTGTGCTGTTATGCTAAGATGTATAGTCGTTCACACTTCGCTCACTCTTTAGGGAGTCTGATAAAGGCTTTTTCTTTTATCTTCAGATAAACACATTAATGGGCGAGAGCTCTCCGGTCTGTTCACAATTTCTGATAACGATTACGAATTACTGCTCCGTTCCTTGTTATGGTAAATCTGTAACTCCTTTGTGAATAGTAGCTCAACGCCATTTTCGCACCTTTCGAAAGTTCAGTAAAAGGAATGATTAAGTTTTACTAGGAGTGAAGTAATTCATTAACACTTTCAGGCATCGCAACGTCGCTTGTCGGATCGTTTTCTTAAATGAGCAGCCAAAGGTACACATTTCCTTTTCCAATCGTTCTGTCAGGCCCTCTTAGAACTTGATAAGTTTGTTTGTAACTGATATATTTTAAGAGAAAACAAAGTTTTGAAGTAGTTTAAAGTTGGCAGCGTTTCAAAGGCAATGAGCACCCTCACTTCGTGTGCAATTTACAAACTCTTTCTTTTATTGTAAATATTTGACTACAATTTAGCACGTATTTTACAATCTGGACCCACAAACTCTAAATTCATTAACCTTTTTTGTTCTTGAGAGTTTGAAATAATCAACTACAAATGCTTCTCAGCGAAAGGATCTTTGGGTCGTTAATGGTTCCCTACCTCTCTTGTTCTATGTCACCGCAATTACACTAGTTTTTGGAATTCTTCGAATTCGAACAAATTTGCGCAAATGATATTCGATATACAAAATTTACATGATTTGCTGTGGATCGAAAGCAAATTACATGCTTCTCGATCCCCACTCTGCGTTAAATATTCCGTGCAACAACTAAAGTGGTTCATCTCTTAGCCCTAATCGCCTTTAGTGTTGTATAAATAGGTGTAAATAACAACTGTAAACACTCCATGGCGCTTTGCAACTAAGACCCTTCAGTTCAAGCCTTTTAGTTTCGAAACGCTTAACAAAAACTAGATTAAATGAGGGGAATACAAGTTTTTGATGTAATTTCCTTACTAAGTGACGACAACTATATCCGGCCGAAGCGCTCTCCGCTCTTAGCAAAGGTATTCCCGTGAGATGTTCTAGGGTTACGATATTAAGACCGGGTATCAAACAAATGATTTTTATGAGATAAATAGCATTGCCTAGATTTTGAAATAAAAAATCTTAAGTGTCCTTGTGGAAGGTAAGACTTTTTCCACTTTAGTCTGCGGTTTGATTCGATGTGGAGAGAAAGTAGTCATTCCATTTCTACGTCATTGTTCTTCCTTTCCGGTAGCAGACCTGTTATAGCAAAGAGGACATCGGCGATGGTCTTAGATGAGGAGGAAGAAATTGTGAATAGTGCTGTGAATACTGAGCTAAACCCGGATATGAAGGATGGTAAAACGAGTACGGAGCGTGTGTTGATAGTTCACTGGGACGACTTTGCTCCCTGTACAGAATAGGAACACGTACCATTCTTTGGTGGCTCGCTTGAGCTAAACTAGCTGCTTCCATTTCGGCAGCGAGTTGTCTCTTCCATTTGTTCCGCCGGTTCTGGAACCATATTTTAACTTGCGTTTCCGTTAGGTGTAGTTGTGAGGCCAAACCAGCTCGTTCCGAAGAGGAAAGATACCTTTTTATATCAAATGTCGACTCCAGTTGATATACTTGACTTCGAGAGAACACCGTTCTTGTCTTCTTCTTCCTTCGTTTCTTATTGATATCTTTCTTGTCACCTTCTGAGGATCGGTCGTCTTTATCCAATGAATCTGTAAGAGAATTGTCACATGAATTTCCGCAGCAGATCGGGGTTTTAGATGACCCTCGTTCGAGCTCAAATAGGGCTCGTTTACTAGTGCTGTTATTTCGCTTACAACCTATTTACCGGAAGCGCACATGTTGTGAGTTACTAACCTTCAACGGACGCCCTGCTCCAGTCATCAAAGTCGTACTCCAGTCTTCTATTTAGGTGCGAAGGGCTTGCATCAGGCCGGCGAGTTTCGCAACCTTCTTTATTTGTAAGTTCAGCGCGCTGTCTGTCATGTGTTCCTCCCGTCTCAGTCGCTATCTCCAACTCTTTTCTCCCGTGACTCTCTCTAGAGCTGCCGTTGTTCAAAATATTGGAAATCGAAAACGGGTTCGATCGAGTCTTCTCCTCCATATCTAAACACAGTTCCGCCTGAATGTGTCGCAACGAAAATAATTCAAGACTAAAGTAGTATAAATTTCCTAAGCTTAAGAAATGGCAAACAAAGATCGTTTGTGTTCGCTTGAATGCATTGGGGCATGCGAGGCGACAATTTAAGTCAGTGATAATGATCAAGAATAAAAATGTCAAACTTGTTAAACGTCTGACATGTAAATGCGCGTCCGTGATTGGTCCAGGGTGACGACTAATGGAACCACGAGAAAGCTCGAATAATCATCTCCTCCCCCTCGTATACAAAAGCCCAGGAAAACTGATAAGAGTTGTTTGTGATTGGCTTTTGGCCGCTATCAATTAGTCCAAGACACGTTGTCATTCTAAAAGTGTTCATGTTTTGTCTTTTTCAATTGGCTAGGGGATAACAATTCGACAATTACCTCCTTGGTGTCGAACTACAATCATGAAAGGCTTTTCTGTTAAAGGCATTCTTAGTTAAAGTGGACCATTTGTTGCTCCATGTCATAAACGGAACGTTTAGCCGTGCGGTTAAGGATTTGATTGGCCTCACGCCTACTTAAAACAAACATTCATCACGCCCCACCAACGATGTATCACACTTCATACTCCGAGATTCAAAAATCAAACCATCGTCAAAGGAAATCTCACGAACTGACTCCATGACTTCAAGAGACCACGCGAAGACTCGCAGTCCCCTAATATCGCGCTAACGTGCGAGTTAGCAGTTTGAATTTACATAACACGTTCCGTCGTAAAAAGATGTGAACGATAAGGCATGAAATAATTAAGAGCAGCAGGGAGCTTTTAACGAGAGTTTCAGGCGATAAGAGAGTGCCACGCAAGAAGTAGGTGATAAGGGGTGTCGAGAAAGAAGTCCTACGAGGCACTGCTAATGGTCTTCTGCCATTTGAGGTTGTTTCCACTCAAACGTTTTTGATGACTTGTTGATTGGCCTAAGTGACCACAGCTGGAAAATTTCATGAGATGCTAATGAGGTAAAAAGCAATTGGGTGATTGCATTCTGGCCCAACTTGTTTCGCCTAAGCGATATTAAGTCATTATTTCTTGACAGAAGAAGTGACATGATTGATGAATTGCAGATTGAAGATCTCAAACAGCAATTCAAAGCCGACGCTAATCAATAGGCTTACCTGCTTTATTTAGCATAGTCGAAAAAAAAAATGTTTTCAACACCCTCTCGAAAAAAATTCTAACTCACGTTTGTAAAAGCCTTCGCGATGCTTACTCTTCACTCTTTTCTTTTTTCGTTGAAAAGAAGAACTTGAATGGGTCTCAATAGCGGAAAAATAAATGACAATTCCTTTAACAGTATCTGAGTAATAAAAATTCGATCCACGAAAGCTGAGAAGATCCAATATTATTTTTTAATTCCTTCCTTTTCACAGATAAATGGGAAGGTAAACAAAGAAAAATAATCTCAAGACCCATTAAGACCGAGTATTAGAGTAACTATCTCTTATATTTATAGCCCCATAAGGTAATATCAGAAATCTATTTACTTAAAAAGAGGATAATCTCTAGAAGGCTCAGCGAATTGCTTCAACCTCGTCGTCGCTTTTGTTTAAAAAGCTATCAAGGTGCAATCAGCGAACATTTAGTAAGCACGGTAGGACTTCGTAAATTTTCCAGTCATTTAGAAGATTTCGTGACGTTTTTGCCTGACAAACGCACAGAAGAAAGGAAATTGATTTCAAGCGCAAAGACACCTTTGTCTGATCTAGACAAATAAATAGAGTTTCCGAGGACTTGAATAGAACATGTTTCGTAATTTGCAAATTGATGTGGTATTCATCTCTCTTGCCTCCCAAATCCGCAACTTAATAGAGTTGAATCGGTGAAGCTTTTAAAGACAATTCCTCTCAAAAAGAGGCTGTAAATTGTCTTTGTGGAGTCATTTCTGTGTGCGGCATTTTTTTTTTATCGAAACGGCGAGAGTAGCATTAAACGTTTTGCCCGGAGCGCGATTTGTGTGAGAACAAGTAAATAAATAAATATTTTCCTCCAAAGCTTAGTCAATTTGAACTATCGAGAATTATATTTACCGAAGGAGGGGCAGAGGGGACTATCAACAAATACATCACTTAATAGGTTTTTAGTGGCTTCGACAAGCTGTAGCAAACCGTTGGTTTTACGGTCGGTTTATGACTGCTTTGTGGGCTTTTACAGCAATTAATTGTGAATAGGAATGAATATGCCCATTCACAGGAAATTTCTTCTCTCAGTTACCCACTTTAACAGAAGGGTTTGATCGTAACGGCGGTTTCCCCGTTTCTGATAGGGCCTGAACTTCGTCAAATTTCTTAGATTAAAAACCGAAAATATATACGACAATTGTCGAGTACTTTTAGGAATAGATGATATAAACAGAGAGAGGAATCTTGAGCGCCCTACGGAAATTATTGAAGTTGTGTCTTCATCTCAAGGAATTAAATTGAACTTAGAAGTGTTTTTCACTTTACTCTCATTTCTTTCAATAAATCGCACATCTTCAGTCAGTTGATAAATCTTTGTTTTGATAGGAGTGATTTGGACTTGGTGAAATTTCGAGTTATTATTTCGTCTATTCGATGCAGTGACACATGCAAATGACCGTGCATTGTGATTAATAGCTCGCTCGACACATTTTTATCATTTCGAGTAATTTCATTGCAAATCAGCCGTCATTACCAAAAGAGACAAGGCGCCAAACATTCTAGAAAACATAAAAGATAACAACATTGGTTTTATCAACTCGCGTTTAAAATGCTATCCCCTTTAGATTGCTTGGCGCTCCTCCCAAAAATATAACTAAACACACGATAAGTCGATCGTTCGGTCTTGTTCAAAACAACGGAGCGAAAAGTTCATGGCCAATTTTTACACAATTTGTTGGCCGATGTACTTTCGGGAGCAAACACTTAACCTGAAGTGCTTTCTTTTTCTCAGTTGTCGCTCGATAGCTGCTCAACATCAGTTGCCATCAAAAACGTGTCACTTCTTAGTTAAGGAAACAATTGTTCGCTTCATCTCTTCAGTACAATTGACTAAACTCTTCAATTAATGGCAATTTAAAGCAAGGGTAGCCTTAATCCTGAAAACTTCGAGCGACCCATTACAAGGTTCCATGTCGCAAGAAAGCTGTCAGCTATATATCATTTATTTTACAATAAGCTATCGCGATACATAAATTTCAGTTGAGTCTAAGCCGTAGAAAAGTGACGACTTGCCTCGAGGGCTTGTTTTGACAAGCATTGTTGAAAACCTTTCAAGATATTAATATTTTAAAAGATGGTGATTTGTAAAGTGGTGAAACTTGGTAGCCCGTTCAGCTGCTTTACTCACGCAATCGGAGAAAGAAAGCGAGTCCAAGGGAGAAGAGAATTTCGAGGCTGAAGTAAGGTTCAGTTTGTTTATAGTCGCACTAAATTGGACAACAAAGGGTTGTATTCAAATTATTTAACATACACAGTCAAATTTCGTCAACATTCAAGCTTAAAATGGAAAGCAATTAACACTCCGCAGGCTTTATTGCGATCTTTTTGTTCGCGCTTTTGTCTCATGGACTATTGTTTAGAGCTTCTGAGCACCCCCGAGGCAAAACCATGAATTTGCTACGAGCATGAGGTGGATCGAACTTTGTGTCATAACAAGACGTATCGTCGCTACGATAAGAAAGAAAAACACATTAATTTAACTCTACGGGCTTTTCTTTTTTTAGATTTTTTACAGCACACAGCCTTTGAGGTTATGTTTACAGTACTCTTTCACGAGGTAATACCTTCAGTGAATATACGATTAAGATTCCATTAAGAGGGTTAGCAGAACAATGTCAAGGCAATTAGAAGCTTCGTCTCAGTGTTTCCTAGCCCTATTAGGTACCTAACGGCTCATCACGTAGTGTTTTAATGTGAGTCCTTTTTTAATATACAAGTTGCTCTTAATTTGACTCAAAGATGTCTCACTCAAATCATGGTATACAGTGTGTGGTGAAAAATAATTATTGCAAAAACGAACGACGATCGAAACTGCTCAGGGAAGCTCGACACTTGCGGCAAAGAATTAAACGCAATTTTAGACTTGAATCCCACTATTGTCTGCGATACGCGGCCGTTTGAATTTTTATAGGCCTTAGTGGACTATGAATGAGAGATTTCAATGACATAACAGGATGCAGAGCACTTTGCTAGCTCCTCCCATCGAGAGCTAACCAAAAGCCAACATCGCTTCGGCTAAATTAATCGGCGGAGTGAATAGATAACGATAGATACGACAAAAGATCTAAAAGCGTCAAAGGTAGCTTAAGTGCCATTCTTATGCTTAGAAGGCCTTTAACAAAAGCACTAAACTCGAGGTGCCTCGAGCAATGATACAAACAAACTTTTTAAACTACACGCTTTAACTTTGAACAGGAATAAATGGCGCGGCAATCTTAGTAAACAGAATAGGGTTGCACGAATGTTCACCTTAAGTATTCTGGCTTTGTGTTTTCAAGAAAGTTCAAATTGCTGTAAGTGATTTTGTCACCATGGGGGTTCATGGCATTTTCGAAAAAAAAGTTTCGGACCAGCGCTGGTTCGTAACTACCCAATGTCGTTTTGACAAAAAGGAAAAATATCTTTCCGGACCATAGTTATCAGTTCTCAATGTAGTATTGACAGTAAGTAAGGAGAAATTCGAGTTTGGTCATTCTTGGTGAACGCACATCCGTTTGGCTCTACATGTTTGTTTTGATCGATTTAACGGTCAATTGCTGCCGAAAAGTCAGATATTGCTTGATCGGTTTTATATTTCGTTGCCATCAACCGACGCTTCTAGATTTGACGTTCCGTAAAACAAAAAGCTTTTATCTTCTTTGATTACAATGATGCCAAATTATGTATATAATGTTCCACACTCTTTTATTTCAAGAGTGCGATATTCTATATTGGACCTCTCTTGGAGCTCGTTTCACCACGATGCGAGGTGAGACATATGTGCCAAATTACATTGAAATTGTAGCCAACAAAGGAACAGATTTTGCTATCAGCACAGCTTTCATGGATTTCCTGAATACAAGTTAACTTTGATTACTTGTGATGTGATTATTGATTAGATTCACAGAAGTTGTCTTCAACAGGAAACTTGTTAATCTCTGCTTGAAATTAACAATTTTTTATTGTGAGATAGATCGAGTTTGTCACTTTGATTCTTGTAAATTGTAGCTGCAAACGTTCTCTGATAACCAGACAGAAAGTTGAAAGTAAAATAATGGGAGATATCTTGGATTTGGGAGCTTGGATAATAACATTTCTTAGTCAGTAACAACCACATAGGTAATAACTCTCTCTGAAAACAGAATGATCAGAAGATATTTCGAATCCTGTGCAGGATACAAGTATATCCAGCTTTAGCAGCCAATCAGAGCGCGGCAAAACCTATCAACCATTAACGCCTTTTAGTTAGTTAATATACGGAAAAGGTATTGAAGATTTGGGTTTTAAGTTTGATCTGATAACTTAAACTTCTCAGACTTTTGGTGGTTTCGCTTCTCAGACGAGACATTTTGTAAAGTCGTGAACTATCAAAACTATGAAAATCAAAGCTTCTTTGTGATATTCGAACCTCCCTCGATATTCCATGTCTGATAACAAAGAAGACTCGTGTTTGGCAAACAAAAAAAGGAAGTGTAACATTTGGTTTTTTAAGGAGGAAAAAGGACAGTTGTTTTTTTTTTCGAGTTTGATATTCGCTTTTAAAGAAGTCTTTCTATGATCCATACCAACCACTCCGTCTAGCATGGCTCCTGTCATTTCTTTTTTCTAACGCATAATAACTTGAATAGTCGTATTTTCACGCCCACTTAAGGTTAAAATTTTTCTTGTTTACTTACTTTAACGACAGTGAACTGTATCCTACAATATCTGATTAAAACGAAAAATTATATAGTCGTCTTTTGCATTTCGAGTCATATCACCGATATATCGATCACATCTTGAGAGGATTTGTTAGAAAAAGAAGATAATTTATCCGACTTTTCGAAGGTAAAATAAAAGCAGTTTGTTAAAAAATCGCATTTGCGGTATTGATGTATTTCGTGTCCATCAACATACAAAACAATTCAATTTTTTTTACTAAAAAATGTCAAACTGTCGTATGTTTTAGACATGTTCTATTCTTGGAGTTGTATTTACATCTAAAATTTAGGAAGGTGACCGGTCCAAAAGAAATAAGAAAATTGTACATCGCCTGCTCAGACGTGTTTGCCTCGTTTGCGAGCTAATCATGCAAAGCGGATGTCAGCGAACCTCTGTGAATGTGATGGGGGGGAGGGGGGAAGGGAAAGCAAAAACCACAACATTATCACAAGAGAATATCAAAAGTTTACATCCTCTTGATTATCATCAAAAACAAAAAAAATTAAAGGCAAACAACGATTCAAAACAAAAGAAAAACAACAAATCAATAATAATAATAATAATAATAATAATAATAACCTCTCTAACCTCGGTTAAGAATATAAGCGAATAAAAAACCTGCCAAGTTTGACATCCTCATATCTCGTTTGCTTCTTGTTAAAGCCATTGTGAAAGGAAAAAATTTACAGCAACTGGCCTGTGTTAGTTTGCTTGTTTGTGCTGCCATGCTGTCACGCTGTCACGCTGTCATGCTGTCATGCTGTCACGCTTTCGTGCTGTCACGCCGGATAAGCGCCTCTCGTTAATAATCTACTTTGATATACATACCTTGCAGAATACTTCCCCGTTGCTAGTGAGAGGTCCTTTTATTTCCCCACTTTTCTTTTTTTTTGTTTTTGTTTTTTTCTAGGAAAAGTTTTCCACAGTTTCAAGACTTAAGCATGCTGACAGATTGTGCACTGACGAATCCCCAAGAAAACACAGCTTGATGGGAGGCTTCAAAATCGTCGGGTATTGTTGCCTATAAACTCCAAAATCCTGGACAGGGGCCTTCTGGATAAAAAAAAAATGTCATAAACCTGCCTGATAAAAAGGCATATCTGGCACTCTCTCGAGACGTTTCCCGAGGTTGTTGTTGTAGTCATGTTTCATCCCAAGGCTATCGCGGCCAGGTGTAAAGAGCTCTGGGTCGAGAATGAAGTATTTGTAAGCAGTGTTGTTTGCGTCAATCTCTGTAAAATGATAATGATACTAACAACAAGGACAATAATAAAACCAGCAGCAACAGCAGTACTTGCAAGTGAGACTGATAAATACAATCGAATCAGGCAACCAACTAGTATTTCAAGGAAAGTTATTGACAAAAATTTCGACCCATGGAGCGTGACCTAAAACTTCCCGTTTCACGAGATGACAAAAAATCATTAAACAGTACATTATGTTTTCTCAGAGGAATTTCTGCCTCAGACTTGGTTGGGTGGTTAATTATAACTGATTGATTACACGGCTTTTTCGTAGTTTTGTGGGACGTTTTCGCACAGATGCCTTTTGACGAAAAGTACTAGAATGCTTCTCTTTTTGTTTCAAGTAAATAAGGTCGTTCTGTTAGTTACACCTTGAAAATGAATTCTAATCACTGTACTAAAACAGTTCCATCGAGAAAATGGCCACAAGGTCTTTAGAACTAATGAAACAGATGTAAACTTGTCACCCACGCAGGCGTTGGTAACCCAATCAAGCGCGACCTTTCATTCCCAGGAGTCCAGATGGTTAAAGCGATGTGCATAGTCTGTGATATTTTGGGCAAGTTAGATATGTTATCTACTGAGGGACGCCTTCGCTTTCACTCGTCTAGAATTACATGGTCTTTACTACGCTCTGTCAACCAATCGAGCACAGAAATCCCTAAACTGCTTAAAGGCTTTTGTGAAGGGCGCGACTATTGTCCAGCTGCCCACGATTTGAGCATCATCATCCTTTAACATCCTTGTTCCTGTATTGTTTATTACCATCTCATGTTTTCTATCTCCTCATGCTTTTCGTCATTTTTTAGCTTACTATCGTCTCATATTTTCTACCTCATCACGTTTTTCGTCGTTTTATTTTTTTTGTTGTTGAATCCAATTTGATGATAGTTCCACGGTACATGATACGAATTAAAATTTTGTGACGTTGTTCCTCTGAAGAATTGTGAAAAATTTTCATACAAAACATCTTCTAATTGAAAAAAAGGGGGAAAAACAGTGGACAGAAAAAGGGCAGAAGGAAAAAGTAAGTTACTGCTATTTTCAGTCCACTAAGGAGTTTCCTAATTCTTTTCCCTGAGAAGGTCAGGAATTTATTTCTAAAGATAGAAACAACTGAACTACGTCCTTGTTAAATTATGATTACTCTAAACCTTATCATGGCCTACACTTTCAAACATTTTTAGAATCTTAGTCGGACTTCGCCAGAATTCATGACCAGCGAAAAAAAACCTTCAAGAAAGCAATAACTCATCACTACTTTCAGTCCTTTAAAGGATTTGATTTCCCGGAGAAGGCCTAAGTCACGATTATGTTTTCAATTTTTTCATTTAATTATTTGCTTTTATCGGAAATAACTGAACTACGCCTTACCAAAATCATAATTATAACTGACCCCATCTAATCTTTGCTCGTTAGTCGCGTATCTGTTAATATCAACTTGCATCTACGTCAGCTGCTAACCAATCAACAACTCAGAAAAACGATACGCGAATTTTCTGACGTGTTGTCTGGAAATACGATCAGTTATCGCCATGTATCACTAGTTGACCTCAAAGTGTATAAATTGGGAAAGTGGCGTGACTACGGTGGAGTTTCGCTTCAAGTTCGCACCGATCACTGTGTCGCCAGGTCTTTATTCAGAGAAAACAGATCGCAGCTGCCGAAGAGTAATCTAACCAGCCTAACGTAGAAATGAAGTCTTGGTGGATTTTCATCTTTTCTCTGGGAATGCTAACCGTCCAAAATCTCTCAGTGGACGCTAGCCCGGTGTACATGAGAATGTTTCCTCGAGAGCGACAGGAATACGAAAGAAATTGGCTTGAAGAAAGGAGAAGTAAGTTTCAATCCGATTTTCTTCCGTTTGATGGTTGTTCCGGATAAAAATTTCACTTGTAAGGAGGTTTGAGCTGCAACAAAGCACTGTTGTTTTGACTCTCCTAACCAACATCAAACCGGCTTATCGCTCAATTCAATGGACCGTCCCATTCACAAAACAATTGCAAGCCAAAGGGCATTAGCAACTGATCTATTTTTCTTCCCTTAAGACCATAAAAGAGAAATGCTCGATTCGTTCATTTTAAATCTTGATTTACCATATTATGCGATCTCAGAAATATTCTAAGATTTTTTGTTTTGGTACGCGCTGAAATTGAGACGACAAACATTTCCGGTGTTTGAACCGAAATGGCACACAATTCTCTGAGAAAGAGAGCGAAACATTTATATCAACATCGACAGCTCTACGAAATCGCTGGCTCATTAATTTTGAAATCTCGGTCAGTAATAATTAATCGACCCACAACGCTCATACATACTCTCCCATGAAACAATTTTTTTAGATAAGAATTTCTTGATCTATCTTCGACGGGCATCGGAATGGCCTTATGAGGATTAGCTTACGACAGGCTTAAGTAAGTCACAGTACACAATTGATAAACACACTGTCAAGTCGAGGTCGGTAGCTCAATGGACAGCTGTAATCTTTGAATGTAATTTCTTCTGATTGGTGTATTATTTAGTTTACAGCGAACACTGAACGCCATATTATATTATACAAGCGTGAAATCTGTCTGGAAAGCCAAAGTTCAATTTAAGATTTCCACTGCCTCGCCCCGTTTATCCAAATTTAATCCACCCGGTCTAAGCCTTGTTCAATTGGCCCAAGTGTGAAGAGACAAATCTTGGCTGACGGATGTTAAAGTAGGCTTACCATCGATCAACCGCGTGATTCAAGAAACCCACAGTGTTAGTAATAGTGCGGTCATATTTCATTAACTGCCCCTTAGCTTATTAACCCCGTGTAATAAAACTTCATTAAAATAAAGGAGCTTCGTTATCTTCCCGCAGACCTCTGCTATGATCTGAAACCCATTGAGTGCATTACGGAGGAGAGTCTATGCGATGAACTTGTCCACGCAAAATATGAGGACTTCCTCGCCTTCGCTCACTATAAGTGTCCCTCCACGTGCAGGGTGTGTTAAGAGGTAAAATAAAGACAAAATCTGAATGCGATCATTTAATAATTGTATTGATAATCCCATGTAAATGGGGTTATAATCTATATCAGGTTGCTCCCCCACCCCTCCCCTCCCTCCCTCCTTTCCTTCCTAGCATGTTATCACGTTTACCTAGCTGTTTGATGGTGATCCATCTACGCTCCTGGGTAAAGGGTTCCACTGTCATGCCCAAAACCCCAACCATACCTCATCAGTAGGTCGTAGATTGGGAATTGTAAAAAAGGATGTGACATTTCATAGGGGTAATTAACTATGGTCGTTTCTAGCCGTGACATTATAGCCACTTCCGATATGGATTGCAACGTTTTGAGCAGATATTGCTGGTTTTCTTCTTGTTATTACCCGACAAGATACGCTTGAACAATTTAGTATGAACAATTTAGCTTGTTGATGGGTAGTTAGAGGCCAGCGAATAGGTGGTTATTCGTTTACTTAAATGAAATGGATGCTAATTGGTACACTTATCTGTCTATTAATCCTTCTGCATTTATTTTTCAGACCATGTACTTGAAAACGGCAAGATATAATGTTTACATGTAAAGTTACATGTTCTTCTCAAAACCTTTGACCAGCTGTCGAGATACATATTCATATTTCAATGTCAGTTATTAATTTGTTTATTACGTATTGCTGTTCTAGTCCTTTATCAACAGATTTAGCTACTTTTCCTTTTGGTCAATGTTTCTCGTATTATACTACAATTGTCAATAAAAATTCTTTTAGTCTACACTTGTTGTAAAGAAGAGTTCAGAGCTGCTCTGCGATAAAGGTTTAATAATAAAATTTTGTGAGGATATTCTAACATTTTAAGGCCAGGTAATTTTTTTAAATCTCTCTCAATTCCCATATTTCCAAATTTAATTCTAAAAATGTAATACTCAACACATTAAATGTCCCGTAATACTTGAGTATTTGCCTCGGCGAGATTTTCCAACAACTGCTACATGTCAAGACGGGTGGCATCCTTATGAAGAAACTTAACACTGTGTTATTCAGAATCAGTGTCTTGCAGATTATCGTTGTCTCAAGTCTTAAAAGCAAAACCACCGTCTGATCTTGTCCTTTACTATTCGCCTTACTGCGCTTATCTTCCAGCAGTAAAGAAAGGGGTTTAGTGTTGAGTTTAAGAACACGATAGTGCCTGTAAGATCCCGAGCTAAGTCAATGGATGGTGCTCGTAATGCAGTGACAGAAATTATGACTTGGACAATTCCGAAAGGGAGATAACAGGCAAGGAATGTCATTTGCACCCACATTGCAGTGGACAATGTTTTTCTGTATCGCGCAATGTTTAGGGAAGCTGGTGCTCCGGTGACCTCTTGTTGAAAATTTACTTGTCTGCCATGATGGCGTAGCACACGATAAATTTTCGTGTAACAGAAAGTTGACGTTGCTGTGCATGACAGTAGTAGTATGCTACCGCTGACTGCAGCAATCAAGAGCCTGAAAATAAACATTCCTGCAATTGCTGCACCAATGAGCCAAAATATGAAAATCATGACTTTTATTCGCCTTAAAGAAAGAAATTGTCTGTACCGAATCCCCAGTAGCAAAGCAAGCAGCCTTTCCACGCTAATTGCAGTCAGTGTTAACAACGATACTCCACCAAACAACACACTGGTTGCCTTACCTATGATGGTAAGGTAAAGGCAGCTGCCAGATTTCTCTGGTAAAAGCAAAAAGACAACTATTAAAGGTTGTGTAACGAGTCCTACCGCCAGATCTGTGCTTGCAAGGTATCGGAAGAGAAGTTTAGATGGTGGACGTAGAGGCGTGGACACATTCTGAAGTGCGATAATAATTAGAACGTTACCCAGAATGGCCGTTACTGATAACGGAATATTCAATGTGGCGATCAATATTTTCAGATGAAATCCATAAAGACGCTCGACGCATAACGAATTGTAGCTTGTCGTGTTGTTTCCAGCCACTTCTGAACTCGTCATTTTTGAGAGCTAGACCTAAAAAATATGTGGATTTTTTTCTCTTATCAATTTGAGATCGATCTTTAGTCTGGTCTTATCGTCATTGCCTGTCTGTCCTTCCATGATTCTGAATCTTGCAGCAGTTCCACATGAACCTATTTTAATGAAGGAAAACATAATTAAGCAAAGAATTAAATCCGATTGGTTGAGGAAGTGGCGCTAGTTTTCTAGACCAATCACAGAGCGAAAAAGGGACCAGAAAACACCTGAACATCACCGGATTGCTTTAGCCACTCAGTGATGATTGCTATCATGGAATACAAATAAAATAAAAGAATACCTTTTTTATTTGGTCAAAATTGGTAATTCAAAGAAATCCTGTCAACGTTAATTATTTTCCTTAAAAAAATTCAGGTATGAAATGCATAAAATTATTAATTACGGGCAGAATCATAACATATTTTTTAGTAGGAAGCCAGGTAACGAAAAGAGGAAATACGGTGTATAGAACTCGACAAACTATACTGATCTATCTCTCTCTCTCCCTCTCTCTCTCCCCCATTGCTGTAGTTTTTATTGTTGTTGTTTTCTTTTTATCACGAGTTATTGCAGCATCCTGGTCTAAAGATACTTCTTTTGTATCGATTTCTTTTTAGCTTTCCTCTTTCTTTCTATTTTTTTTATAATTTATTTTACGCTACAGGAGACACTGTCCGATGCAATGAAGATTCTCTATTGTTCACTCGATGTCAAAGGTACTTCCTTTGTCAGTCGAGTTTCGACAGAATTTAGATTTTTATTTACTTTGCACACAAAAAATTTATTGCGTGCATTTTATGAATATCAATATTATAACTATAAAAAAATTTATAAATCTCCTTTGTCACTTTTTGTGCGTTTCTTCAAGTAAAAACATAAGTAGCTAAGTTCGGTATGGAACAATCTTACTATAGGAAACTTTTTTTAATTGGAATGACAATAAAAAACTTTCTATTCATCGTGGGAATGAGTCACGTTTAAATCATTCAAATATTTACATATATATAGGTATAGCCAAGCGAGAAAGCGGAGGTCCATCCTTCGCACACGTATACGTGATCAACAAAATTTTAACTTGTCTGACAGGTGACCATAAAAACCTTTTCCACTAATCACTTTAAAACCTAATTTAAGTTATGTTGTACATACTTTTTAAGATCTATACTAGGAATGGTATAAGGTTATTAATTTCAAAGTAACCACGCTTTAAGATTAACGTAGACTTTACTTTAGATCTCACCTGCCCTTCTCAATGGGGATGAACTTGGGTGATTTAAAAAAAAAACTCTTCGTGCCACAGAGGAAGGATTTATAGCAAATCTAAAAACCAAGGAAACACTGAAATGACCAACGCACTTTCACCTGTCGATTCCGATTTTGGGATCACAATCAGAAACCGTACCTTGAAGATCTACTCAGTAATCTTGATCGCTTTTGAGTTGAGTTAGACTGTATGCAGCTACCCAAATAGAAAATCCTGCAGAATATTAACAGAAGTCTCTGTTTGAATTCAGCATGCTAACCTCATTGTTACAGAGCCTGAAAAACATCTTTTACAAAGTACTCCCTGTCCATCAACAGACCATTATTTGAACTTTCACTAATTATAAATACAGACTTGACAGCATTGTACTTATATGACTATGACTACTGATCTTCGTGACATTTCCTCGTATTTTTCCGTTTGTGAATGACATATCTAATGATCCTCCCATAATTTAAGTCCAGGAGAGAAAATAATGTCCCATTATTCTCTTTTGCGGTCCACCAATATTTATCATAATTTCCTGATGGTATGAGCAATGAAAAACAAAATAATGGAAGTCGAGCGAGTTTAAAATCTTGATCTAAAAAGTGCCTTTCTTTTCATTAAAGCTTTCGATGACAGACTGCAGAACTTGGACATTTTCGAGCTCATGAAAGGCGGCGATGTTGGTTTATGATTACTCTCAAGAAATGGTAAATGACAGTTTGCCAAATTTTGTTTGAATTTGTATTCGTAATGCTGGAGTCAGTTTTTAAATATCGTGTTTGTAGACAAAAAAGACATCGTAAAATTAAACGTGTTACTTTCCATGCAGAGCTAGTATTTTAAACTTTTTACTTACTGAAACAGACATTTCCCTTCATAGAATTAATGCAATAGAAAAAGACGTTTTTTTCGTCTTGTCACGAGCGTGGGACGAAAGAAAAAAATTAGTGTAATGCTCTTAGAAAAAAATCAATGGTAAGCTAAGATGACAACTCGGAGATAAAGCACGAGAAAAATTATTTTATGGTATCGATACTAAGTACTAAGTGATTCAGCTCGAGGAAAAATGATTTCTCATTAGTATATTGACTCGTCAAGCCACGAGCAAGTGGAAATCAATAGAAAACATCCACTATCTATTTGTAATCACAATAAATTTATTGACATTTTACAGATGATTGAAATGATAAATATTCGAGACATTCTCTCAAATTTTCCTGCAAATTCTCTTAATGACGTACTGTAGTATTTGTATGCGTTACTCGGGAACCAATATTTCTAGCTTTTACTGGCAAGGCATGCAAAAGAAAAATTGTAAAACGAACTGATAAAATGTGTTCAAAATATTTAATTCTCATTTTTTTTTTCACCGTGCTGGACTGAAGGAAATATTTTTAAAGACAAACTCATCTACCTAAAGAATGAAATTGTAACTCAATTTTCTTTGTTTCTTGCGTTTGAACTGTGGGCGACTTTGAAGATTTGGAATACTTCATGCCCCTCCATATTGCAAGTGTACGAAGGGTTTGACTTACGCTTCACGGATCAATAAACCTCTATTAATTTACAGGTGAGAATCGGATGATGCTTTTTTTTGATTGGTTTGCAAAATTAAAGATATGAATACACGTACAGGAAATCCATACATTTATACCAATATATTTAAGAGCGTCTTTATCATGTAACCAATACCTCATATACATGTTGAATTTAAAAAATCACAATGAATAGAAACTAGAAAATACCCCAGAAGGCGCCAGTTACAAAGATTTAAGTTATAAAACAGAGACAATTTCCTTAAATCATGATGTATCCTTCTCCTCAAATCTTCCTGACTTTTAGCACATCTTCTGCGCCCAAAGATATTCGCCCTGTCTCAGTATATGTAGAAAACAAAGTCTGAAAATCAACCTGTCGCACTGTTCTATTAATGACCGTAGTTGCTGTAAGCTTTCTAGTTTATAGAGTCTATAGTTATATAACTTTTTTTGCTTTTATAAGTAATACAGGTGTGTTTTCACTTCTTTTCTAGTTTCCCCAGTTACTCTGGTAAGGAATTGGAGACAGACTTTGACTCTTAACTAAAGGTTTCCGTCCCTTTTTGCTGACATCATCAGCAATCATTTTTTGTGAGGGATTGTAGATTAGGCACATACCAGTTCAATAGCAGGACACAACCCCAATTTCTTATATTTTTCCAGCTCATAATCGAATAACAAACGTCAGCAAGCTTTTTGATTGCAAGTGCTGTACAGATCAGACTTTCTACTGTACGCCAAGCGACAGTTACAGGTCATTACAAGATTTCCCTCTTCTCCCTTATTAAATACTACCTTCTGATGTAAGACTAACGCTATAAAAGTCAGCTTTTTAATATTTATTCAACACACACATTGTGAAAGTTTTACTCACCTTTCCACACAGCGCAGCAAAGGGAACCTTGAGAGTCGTCTCGCTGTGGTGTTTTAAACTTCCTTAAGCAGTAGAGATGTGAACAGAGCACAATATTGTGGTTTTGCGGTAAATCTAAATCCGGCAACGCATTTTGTTTGTATTGTCGAAGATCCGGTTTTCAGGGAAGCCGAATCATAAGTTTTGTTGTGGTTTCTTGTTAAATGAACTAAATTCAGGTTATTTCAAAAGCAAAAGTTCAATGAATTGTTAAAAAGGGATTGAAAACGAAGTTTGCGAATTTGTAGGCACTCGAAATCAACTCCGCTATGACAGAGAAATATACTATATACTCGAAGTGTAAGCAGAAATCTATCAAACCTGAAAGATCAACGGAAAACGACATTTTACAAAATACATCCATACTATTCACTTATCAACAGAGTGGACGGGCCAGACGGGAAAATATTTGGCTCGAGGTCATAAACTAAGGACCACGCATCGCGAGATCCATGCGTCATTACCGAGATTCAAATACTTTTTCGTTGGGTCCGACCTAACTCATTCAATAAGCATGTTTTATTTATTTCGTTCATCGTTTAGCTCACGTCTCACGAGGCTGTGGAACTATTGTCAGCACTGCACACACCATCGCTCACGGCCCTCATACGCCTTTTGGTGTGGAGCCCATACATGCCATTAAAAAATTCAAGTAGGAGAGTAAATAATGCATGGATACGAAACAAATGAATGAGTTACTAGTAATCGGATCCTCGTGTTTGGGCACAGATTTCTGGAATCTCCACGGGGCAAACATTGCAACTAACTAGAAGGAAATGAGTGGCGAAGGGTTGTTCCGACGTTCGACTGAAAAAACGATTTTAGGGAGAGATTATAGCTTTTCTGCCATTCTTTTATCAGTAATGGATTTGGGTAATGCTGATAAAAGGAAAGCGTAATTTTTGGTTTGAAAAACCATGAAATATGTGGTAAAATTTACCGCTTAATTCGTCTTGTCTCGCAATGGTCTCGAAATTTAGAAAAAACTAATTATAAATCGCCAAGAAATAACTCAGCTAAGCCTTTTCAGTTTTTTGGGCGGGTGTTAAGTCTACTTCTAGCTTTTTTCGTTGTTTTTTAATACAAAAGAGCGCTACTAAAGCTACCTCGAAGCAGCTTTAGATACAAATGGCGTGCTTTAGCATTAAATATTATGGTAGTACATTTATGTGATAAAACACTGTTTCTTTTTTGCGATCAATGAGAACGAATCAGCGTTGATAATCAGCTAAAACTGAACCCTTTCTTCTGTGACGATGAGTGATAAAAATTGGTCTCTTAGGGAGCGATGTGTAAGTGATGATATATCCATAGTTTCTACTGGAGTTCCCGTGATTTTGCTTTTCCTGACCTAATCCTCCAAGGAGTTCGAGAAGAAAAGTTGCCGCTCAAAGACCTTTGGATTTTTCTCAAAGAAACTACCAGTTGCACAAGGGATTTCCTCATGTTTTTTTTCATTATTTCAACCGTTCAGAGAGCAACAGCTCCGTAAAAACAATTTCCATCTCCGCTGACAACGACTTCTCTCCTTTAAGGAGGTATATTTTCAAACGTCTTAGCTTGAACGGTTCCCTTCCTTGTTTGGTATTGATGGGATGAAATTCGAAGTTTTAATGAGTTTTAAACACAGAAAGTTAGTGAAGTATTGAGTCTTCAATCAGCCCACCTTGGCTTTATGACAGAACATCTGCTTGACTATGAAATTATTGCAAGCATTCAATAAAGGTTCGAACTAAAAACAAGCAAACTTCTCGAAGCGCAGGAAAATGTTTGACATTTGATTAGTTGAGAAGGTAATGCAAACTTTTTCGACCAATCATAGAGTGTACTTTATTAAAAGCTGCGCAACCCATGTTTACTTTTCATTTCAAATTAAAATACTCCTTTTCGGTGGGAAATCACCGATTCCTCTAGATTCCAGAGCTTTTATCAAAGACTTAACAAAAAAACGCCCTGATTGTTTCCTTCACCGCTTGTCTTACCTCATTAACTTTCCAGCAGTAAAGAAAAGGATTCACAGCCGAGTTTAAGAGGACCATTGCTATGGTTACATCCGGCCAAATAAAGTCTAAGAATGACGTGGTTGCTTTTTTAAAAGCATATACTGCTTGAACTATTGCATGTGGTACATAACAAGCCACCACTGTAATTTGAACCCATACTAATCCCGAAACTATCTTTTTGTATCGAGCAAAGTTGAAAGCCTGGTCTTGATGAACTTGCTCTCGCAGATGTATTTGAATTTGATGTTGGCGAATTTTCACGTAGATCTTCACGAAACAGTACGTCGAGACGGCCACACAGACAAGCTCAGTTGCAAAAAGGGTGATGTGAATGAGGAATGAGTTGTAAATGAAGGTCGTTGCAATTACAGAGCTAAGAAGCCAGAACAAGACCAGGGTAACCTGTACTCGTCTCTTAGTCACTTTCTGTCGGTATCGAAGCCCCAATAACAGAGCTAAAAGTCTGTCTACATTTATTGATGTCAATGTTAACATCGATACTTCCCCAAGCAATGCTGCGAGGCAATAAAAAATGGTTCTCAGACTTTCGCACTTCCTTAAGTGCCCTTGAGACGTTAAATAGGTAATAAAAAGCGGCCCTGCAAGTAGGCCAACTCCAAAATCAGTACTAGCAAGGCATCGAAAGAGAAGTTTTGACGGAGGATGAAGAGAATACACCCTTTTTAGCGCAACAACTATTAAAATGTTACCTGCAAAAGCAGTGATAGAAATCATGATAATTAATGCAATGATGAAAGTTTTTTGTTGCAATCCATAAAGGCGAATCGCACAGGAGATGTCCTGATTACTCGTTTGGTTTCCATTTGAAGTTGAGTTGACAGCCATTCCTCTTTGTCGCCTTCGAACTCAGTGACGGTCTTTAGTACCGCTTCATTTGTTATTGTCTGTGTAAACACAAGCCTTTCCACTCGAATTCAATTTTGTCTCAGTTTGGGAGCCACCATTATAACTTCAAAGCTCGGTTCAGCACCAAATACTAATGTTCCGGCCACTATGAGTTTCCATAAATGTACCTGAAACCAATATTCAAATCGTCTCTGGTTATCTAAATTTAACGAGATAATTGCAAGACGAGCAACCACTTCGCATGTCTTAAGTTCCAATAAAGATTATTGAAGCAATAATGTATTCTCCAAAGACACTCTACAGAAACCACTTCTCCACTGCGTCTAAGTTAACCGGTTTTCGTATAGCTTTACAACTGGTGCTATGTGGTTTCATATAAATATTCATAAAACTAATTATCTCAGATAGATGTTATGCGCGTGTTATGGCGTGTCAATCGCCGAGAAGACTCTGAAAGCCAAATATGCATTTAAAATTAAGTATTCACTGTAATAGATAGCAAGTTTGCAAACAAAACTGCCACCGGATTCACTATTAGTATGCAAAGTCAATAATTTGACACGAGCTTGCCAGCCAATTTTTCGAATTATTTAAACGCTCCATTCATTTAGAATGAAACATGTTAGTCTCTGTTTATTAATCTTTTTAGGAAGTAACTATGCATGAGACGAGTTCGGGATACACTGTGTTTGATTTAGCTTCTTATATTAGCGCTGAGATTGCATCCACGTTAATTTGCAAAGCATTCGTTGATTTAAGCAGCGTTTACCTAACTGGTTTTCTGTGCGTTAGCACCTCAACCTTTTGTTACATAAAAATATATACGTAGGACTTCGCCAACATCCTTCGCAGTAAGACAAAGAAATTCATATAAGAATAGTTTTATTAATATCCTTTAAGATCTGATTTTACTAGAAATCTCCTTTATGCTAAGTTTTAATAAGATACATTTATGTTGAGTTCTTGTCATACATAATTCAGCCACAGGGCTGTAAAGTATTATCATAAAACACCTGTATCTATCTATCTATCTATCTATCTATCTATCTATCTATCTATCTATCTATCTATCTATCTATCTATCTATCTATCTATCTATCTAATCCGAGAAGGCCGAGGCGAAAATCCAAGATTACATTTAATTTAAAATGTCTCCTCTTTGGCATGTGACTCCACTATTTAACAAACGTTCTTCATCTCGCTCAGGGAAACAACACTCTCTTTGTTTCCTTTCACAGCTGGTCTTACTTCACTGACTTTCAACAGTTAAGGAAATTTTAAGGAATCACAGCTGAGTTTAAGAAAACCCAATTGCTATCTTCAAATCCCAGAGAAAGTAAAAAATGGCAAAGTAACTTCTGTGAAAAACATATACAGCCTGGATCATCGCCTGTGGCACATAACAGGCTATCAGTTTAATTTTTCATTACCCTCTCTAATACTGTCACTGTCTTTTTGCGTCACGCATTGTTGAAAGCCTTGCCCGAGGGAACTTGCTCTGACACGTGTATCTGCTTTTTTCTATGCTGGCGAAGTCTCTTGCAGATTTTCAGAAACAGAAAGTAGAAAAGGCAACACAGAGGAGTACAGTTGTAAAAATGCTCACTGATATTGGTCAGGATTTAGTTGTGGATGAGCATCGGTGCAATTATTATAGAGCTAACAAGGCGTACTCGTCTCGTAGTCACTTCCTGTAGGTATCTAAGCCGCAATAACAGAGACAAAAGTCTCTGGAGATACAAAAAAAATGGTTCTGGTGTCATATATTCTTCGAAGTTCCTGTAAATGCATAGGAGGCCAGCAATTGTTTAGTCCCAAGACTGGTATTTGAAAGGACTAGTCAAAATACATTTTATGAAGATAAAAGAAAGATTATACAACCTGGCCAAATTAGAAAAATGAGTTGGCGTTGATGTTTGAAACGTCACAGTGAACAGGTGCCATGAAAGTAAGTATTTCGCTTTTATTTATCTACCGATGAGAAATGTCAGAAATTTAAATAAAGCCATTTTCAGTTGCATAACTAAGCAGTTACAAAACTTCACAATTCCCAGAATACGCTTTCAAAGTGACAACCCCACATTTAATAAGTGAGGAAAGTAATTGAAGAAAGCAAATGAAAAAAAAATTAAATCCACCCACAAACTAAGATAAGATCGAAATACGTCGAGACGCCTTGTCGACGTCAGCAACAGAACCGTGTCAGCTGGATCGTCAGCGCAGAAACAATAAAATACTGTCCCATTCTCATTTTGCATCACCGGAGAACATCAAAAACTTGACAACTTCGTTCCTAAAACAAGGATATTTTGCAAACCAGCTTACTATGTAAAGGAGACACGGTAATGACTAGTTCTATTAATAGCGAATAGTCAAAGAAACTCCACAGCATCACATACGTGGATATATTTCCCAATACATCCTTGTACATCCACCTAAAACAAAACAATCCGGGACGTATGGCTGTCTTGTGACTACTGGCTTTGAATTGTTATTGGTGGCTTCATGAAATGGAGGCAAGAAACACTCAAGTGGTGAAGCAGGGATAAGAATAGAATCTTACGTCTTATTAGGCGGAACTTTAAAAACTAAACTGAACGCTATCAGCTTGACGAAAAAAAGGATGGCAAACTCAACACCTGATAGTTACTACATGACGAAAGGTCTAGACGTGTTCTGCCCTATTCGTAAATATGGATTGCAGCTAAAAATTGTTATTATAGTATTAAATATTCTTATGTCCATGTCTACAATTATGGGCAACAAAATTATAATTGCTGCGCTTCAAAGAGTATATTCCCTCCATCCCCCGTCCAAACTTCTCCTTCAATTTCTTATGGGCACAAATCTTTCTCTTGGTCTTCTTTCACAGCCTCTCTTTGTTAGCTTTCTTATGTCTCAGGAGCACTCAGTAACTTGTATTTATCTGAAGACCCTTTTTTATTGTACTGCTACATTACTTGGGTCAGGGCTTATTTTGACACTGACAGCAATTAGTGTGGACCGACTTCTCTCTCTTCGGCTGGGTCTGAGATACCGGCAGGAAGTAACTATAAGACGAGTGAGGATTACATTGTGTTTCATTTGGCTTCTTAGCGCTGTGATGACATCAACATTCATTTACAATCCATTCGTTACTACGAGCATCGCTTACATAACTGGTTTCCTGTGCGTTATCACTTCGACGTTCTGTTACATAAAAATATACTTGAGCCTTCGCCAACATCACGCGCAGGTAAACGTGCTGGGCCAACTTCGTCAGGGTAATGTCTTCAACATCGTGCGCTTCAGAAAGATGGTGACAGGCGTAGTTTGGGTCCATATTTCACTTGCGGTTTGTTATTTACCACACACGATAGTTCAAGCCGTCTTTGCTTTCACTGGAATGAACACTGCTTCTTTCGACTTTATTTGGGATGTGACAACTTCTATGGCTTTCTTGACCTCAACTCTGAATCCTTTCCTTTACTGTAGGAAGGTTTGCGAAGTACAACAAGCAGTGAAAGACAGTATCAAGCCCTTCTTTTGTTGAAGTAAGATAAAGAACATTTTGGAACATTGTGGAATGAACAGTTTCCCAAAAATCATACACATGCATGAATTTGGCGATACAAAGCTTCGGCGTGGGAAGGAAATCGCACAAGCGTAGTCCCCATACAGTATTTCACTCGAAATTTGAGGCAGCTTACCGTAAGGATATTGGACAAGAATATCTTAAGTTCTATAACTTCTTCATCAGCTATTCCCTTTGAACTTGCATTAATTAAAGGTCATCGGGGAAGTATCATGATCACCATCACAGCCTTTACTTTAATTCAGATTATTATGCAGATTATTAGTATTAGCTAATATTGGATGAATATTCTCAGATTAAAAAGAGCCACCTTAAATTATTGATAAAGGGAGTTGGGTCTACATCAACTTAACGGATTTTTTAAAAGCTTTTATGTGTCTTGGTGTTCGGATAAAATTCAGTGATAAATCATGGGAAACTTTTTCATCAGGCGTTCTTTGCATTGATAATTAGCAGGAAGCTTTCCTGCACTTAGGCCAAGTGATTTTTGTGCCATATTCGTTTCTAGGAAATATTTCACGGGTGTCGTTCCTCAAACGGACCGGTAAAGGCTCAGGAGGCCAGCAATGGCTTATTCTGGATGCTGGCCCATCAAAAGGACCTTTTAAAATAATTTCAAGCAGAAATGAAAGACTTTAAAACTTGGCTAATTTAGGAAAATAAACAAGGAAAAACTGAAATGAATTAACACGCTTGAGTCGATGTTTATCGAAAAAACAGCTGTTTTAAAAGTGAGTATTTCCATTCTACATGTCCGCCAATGAGTGGCAGAAATTTGATAGAACCACGTTCGGTTTACACTGATTAGGAGTTTTCTGATGTCATAGAGACTAGAGGTAAAAAAAAATTCAGTTGAACTAAAAGACTTCAATTTTATTAGATTTAGTTTTCCACTGAGAAGACGAAAGTGTTCACAGAACTATGTCAACAATACCATCAATGCAAAATACAAAAAGAGAGGATTAAACAATAAAATAACATTTTAACAAAATTAAAATTCTGTCACTGCCACGTTGTATAATGACCGTAGAGCGTCAACAACTTGACAACTCCGTTTTCCAAAGCCTACTCAAGGCTTCATTTATCAAGATAAACAGATCTTATTTGTGGAATTAATCGCAATTGTGAAAGAAAAATAAAAAACCCGCTGTTGTGTCTGTTATCGGCAGTAAGGCATAAACTTGCTTTTCCGTCGGGGTCTTCTGCGAAAGTGCCGCAGTTTTTTAATTTTACAAAAAAGTGAGTGTTTTTGTATCCCAGAGAACGGCCTTTGGTGAAATTCAGTGTTGTACAGAACATATATGCAAAATCGATTATTTCATATGAAGACTAATATCTGGAATCAAGTTAAGCGGGAACCCCAGGAAAGCGATTTCTGAAGTCTGGCTAAAAAATAACTCCTGCCTTATACTCCTGACCTCGACGTTACGCTTTCAGGTGTGGTTTCTTACTAATATGTTTTGCAAATCAGTTTATGTAAAGGGAATGCATAGCGTATAGTAAATTAAAACTCTTAGTGTTACATATCAACAAGCGACCGCCATGTTTTTGTAAAACACGCTTTTTATTTGATGACGTGCCTAAAAGTGGTCAGCGGTATACATAATACTCAGTGTCACTGCCCCTGGAGTAAACTATTAAATATAATTTATAGAGAATAATTCATGGGCGTACGTAGATATGGAATTTCTCTTGAGTGTTCAACACGATATCTCACAAATAGGCGCAGCGAACGAGTGAGATAATGAGTTGAACACGAGCAACCAGGTATTATTTTGTTTTTTATATAAACACCTGACAAGAAAAATCAGCCTCCTTGATAAATGAGAAAAAAGTGACAGAGTGGCGCGAAAGGCGAGTGACGTATCAGCATCAGATTGGCGATCTCAAACACAACGGCTAGCCGTTTGGATAAAGGATAGAGGATAAATTCGCGTTGTTCAGGGGCATTAGTTCGAGGTCAAAGAGGAGATGGACGCCATATTTACTATTTCGGTGATGAAGTGTAATCGCAGACTACACCGCTCAAAACAATTCGGATTAAAACGTCAAGGTATAGAAACTTACGGCAAAGGAGAGACGTAAAGCCAGAGTCGTTCCTTTATTGAAAGAAAAATTCGAATCAATCAGAATCTTGCCTGAAAATGAGAAGACCTCAAAAAGGCGATAAGTCATCTCACGTCAAAACAAGATGCCATCAAGCCGTCGTATAGTTAACTATCCTGCAAATGCAATCTTTTCTAAGAGAACTTTAACCAGGGAAGCAAAACACAGTGTCTGCGCATAAGTTAGCTATTTCCTCGGGCTTTGCGCATATACTTTTTGCGACCTAGTTATCAGTGGGCTCTTTCTTGTCGAGCCGTTAAGCGTACATTTTCAGCGGTTTCAAACTGAAAATGTCAATCTGACATGCGCGAACTAAATTTCCACTGGCGGGCGTTTTGAAACAGCCGCGCGGCTACGGCTACGGCTTTTCTCAGGGCTGGATATCCTTGTAAAACACCGCAGTTTATCTAATAAACTTCCCTATGATAAGTCCTTATTTAAAATCAATCCATGAGTATACTTACTAGTGAGGGGGGAACTGGGGGGAACTGGCATTCTCTGGTGTCTTTTTCTGTAGCTGTAAATTTCAAAATTAATTAAAAAAACAACAGTCGGAGGGAATTATGTATTAACACAAGCCAGAGAGGTGAAAACTCGGAGTTACAAAGATCCCTTAACTTTAAAATTACAAGCGGCCAGGTCGTTTCATTTATTTAGTTTTTTTGTTTCCCATGTTATCAGCCAATACGTGATCTGTACGTAACTGCTTGTAAGATAATGCTCCGTCTTCATTTATCAAGCTGTCAAACTGTGTTTTGCTAAATATTCTTAACAGGTCACATGAACTTAACTTTACTTTACCCGGGTTACCACAAATTATAAGTCATCATTAATTTTAACTAAATTCTATTGGCTACTTTGAGTCACGTGGTTCAGAATAAGCGCAGAAACCCCTGTTAACGTTGACATTTGTCCCCCGATTATTTCCGTGGAAAATAAACAAAGCCAGCGTAAAAACGCCAGCTCAAGAGTTTCACATTTTCATCTCTATTACTTAATATGGAAGGAAATCGAATTCGTTTTGTTGAGCTTCCGAAAGCCTAAAAAAGTCAACAAAATTAGCTGTCAAAACACGACACGGAAATTAATGGGAGTGACACGAGATGAATAAATTCCCGACTGGTTTGGCCGATCAAGAGACTGCCCTCAACATTTGCCTACGAAGCCTCGATTCTCGGCCAAATATTCATTTTTTAGGCGATATCTCAGACTTGAACATTATCAGCCGTCTTGTCAGTCGCCTGAAGGGGTTTATCAACTAAATAACATAGGTTTTCAATATCTCGAACATCAATTATTTACCTCAGCCTTCAGTTTCACCATAAAGGTGATATCCACGCCACTAACAAATTACGATAATTTGCTCACTCTTGTGAACTTATTGTTGACCTGTAGTATGAAGATAATGGCATATTTCAGTACTTCTAAAGCGATTTTAAATTAATTTTCATTTGATAAATGCAGACAGACGAATAAAAATAGAATTATTTAAGAACTCAGGGAAATCATTATTCACTATTTGTTCAGCTAAGTAATCATTATATTAAGTGCGCACGTATTTCAGAGCATGAAGAGGGAAATGAAATGTGAAATTGACATGAGTTTTTAATTTTTATGTTCTATTTCAGGGAAGGGGATATCTGTTCGAAAGGAATATATCTTGGACAAGTCAGAAGGAATTATCTTCAATTCTGTTGCAATTGCAGAGAGCAGGTATTCTTCCATTGCGAGGTAATTTATTCGTATCTAGTCCTGATCTAAATCGAATCCGGATTTCGTGACTGCGGCTTTAATTTGTGGTCGGTGGCTCTAATACTGAGGCAAAAAGAGATTCAAGTGGCTATATGTATATATATACATAGATTTAGATTTTTTGGTCATTAGAGACTTTTAAAGAAAAGTGGAGCTTATACTATCAGCTGTAAAAAAGCGGATGGCGAACTCAACACCAGATGGGAACCACACAGCGAAAGGTCAAGCCTTGTTTTGCTCGACTCGTCATTATGGATTGCCGCAAAAGATTTTCATTTTGACGTTAAATGTTCCTATGTCTATAACTACAATACTAGGGAACGTACTGATCATTGCTGCACTTCAGAGAGTACATTCTATCCATCCGCCGTCAAAAGTTCTCCTCCGATGGCTTATGGGTACTGATCTTGTCATGGGTCTTCTTTCACAGCCTCTCTTTGTTAGCTTTTTAACGTCTCAGGAGCACTCAGTAACTTGTAATTATCTGAAGACCCTTTTTTATACCACTGCTACATTACTTGGGTTAGGGTTGATTTTGACACTGACAGCAATAAGCGTGGACCGACTCTTTTCTCTTTTACTTGGTCTGAGATACCGGCAGCAGGTAACTAAGAAAAGAGTGCGGGTCACAATGAGTTTGCTTTGGCTTCTTAGCGCTGTGATTGCATCGACGTTCATTTATCAGCCATTCGTTACAACGAGCAGCGTTTACACAACTGGTTTCATGTGCGTGATCGCCTCCACGTTTTGTTACTTAAAGATTTTCTTGAGACTTCGCCAGCTTCAAACACAAGTAAACGTACAAGGGCAATTTGGTCAGGGAGAAATCTTCAATATTGCACGCTACAAAAAGACGGTGACGGGCGTAGTCTGGGTGCAGATAACACTAGTGATTTGTTATGTACCACACGCGCTAGCCCAAGCTATATTTGCTTTCACTGGATCGAATACGCCATCTTTCAACTTCGTTTGGGATGTGACAATTTCTATGGCTTTCTTGACCTCAACTCTGAATCCTTTCTTATATTGCTGGAAGGTTCGCGAGGTAACACGTGCATTGAAGGACACAGTCAGACCATTGTTTTGCTGAGTAAGGGAAAAAAATGCGTAACACATTGGAATGAGCGGTCCGCCGTAAGAAAAGTATGCATTTGGAAAAACAAAGCTTCAGGGCGTGAGGCGCGCAAGCACAGCCCTAAACGTAAGAAATTATAGTACCCATCAAGTTTGGTTACTATGTAATAACAGAACAGGAAAATTTAAAAGTTTCATTTTATGACTTATACAATAACTTAAAGGGATACTCTGCTGAGAACGACCTCGATATAAGTTATACATCATGTACGTCGATATACATCATATACGTCGATATACATCATGTACGTCGATATACATCATGTACGTCGATATTGCAGAATTGAAAATATCACCGGTTGAAGGCTATCATCAAACGCTGAGGAAAATGACCAGTCTAAGAGATTTACAACCCGATCTGTCAGTTGTATAGACATTTACACCCAAAAAAACCATCGCTATGGCTTCAGCAATAATGATAAGACAATAAGAACGTCAATCAATCTATTTGAAGCGAAGAAAATCGTCCGATGCGGCTTGAGATTCAGAGACTCTCTGAAAATGATGGTCGTAAAAGACCACATGGAATTTGCTAATTGGTTCGGATATTGGGCCTTGGAGGCATAAGGTGACTAATTGACTCCACCACTAGGGCACTATGGGGATGACGAGAACGTAGGGAACGTAAATCTCTTTGTTGTGGTCTGGCGTTGTTTCCCGGAAATTCCAAAATTTTGGGCATCTGCAAAAATTTTTTTTCAAAACTTAAACTGCTCAATGTAGTCAGGCCTCAGTCCCCGACAAAGTGTTTTAAAGTACATCACAGCATATCAATAAGGAGAATGTGCTATATAAATGGACCATTATCATCTTCGTATACTGTTTGCTTGTTAACTGCCGGTTTTTCTTTTCATTTTGTGTTATCTGACTTCAATATGATCATAAGCTAGATGTCAAGTAAGTGATTTTCCATTTAACTTTGGTTCTGCCGGTGGCAATGTGCCATTTGTCACTTCAAAATATTTTCCTTAGAGGCGACAAACACACTCTTTAAAATTGAGATTTTTGCATCAATTTGAATGACACTGGATTAACACTGACACTGAATGAACACTCACACTGAAATGATCATGAATCTTAATTTTCGATATGACAAAGCCTCTTGAAAATTTTTGTCAGTAAGGTACATTGATGACGTAGGCACTGAACTAATGAATAGAGAGGTCAAATCATGCAAACCAAAGACAAGACGTTAGGAAAAGCATCTGAAATTTGCTGAAATGTAACTGTTTTTATTCTCTTCACAAAAGAAACTTCCAAATCAAGACGCTTTTGGAAATAGTGTAGGTGAGAATTTTTTTTCAGAGAGTCATCCGATGTTATTGATCTGAAAGATATCACCTCTGATTGTTTTGATATCAGTAGTTTAATGTCTTTTAATGGGAAAGTTTATGTTTGGGGTCCAGCTGATAAAACAAAACTAATTGCTAGTTGCTTAAAAAAAAATTAACCGACTCTCTGAAGAAACGAAGCACTCTAGCATAAAAAAGACTTAATGATAAATAAATAAATAACAGCCATTTTATTTCTAGTAATTCACAGCAGATTAAAAAACGAAATAAAAGGGGGTGAAGTATACTTTTAATTATGAGAAGGAAGAGTACCGCCATAGCATAAATCCAGTAAATACTATGAAAAGCTAATAAAAGGATTTCCCACGAGGCTTTTCTTAATGGGCTCAAAAGGGATATCCATTATTTAGTTTTTAACTCTAAGTCTTTGATGATTTGACGCATAAATAGCTTTTTGGGTGTTTCCAGATTGAAAATTACTGAAAAATTAAAAGCTCTTTTTTTGTTCGACAAGTTACGGCCTAATTATTTTGTTGTTTCGCCTACAAATCATTTTTTTTTATCATAACGTTTATGCGATCTCGAAATAATTCATAGAGTCATTTGACGTCAGTATCTTTTAACAGCTCCGGCTGCTAAAAAGGACACTGATCACCTGGTCAGCGTTTGTCGCTGAAGATCGTCTTCTCAGTTTTGGTGCCGTATTAGCGCGAAGAGTGACTTACCTTCAGGAAAAGGAATGGGGATTGTAAAATTTATGTCCATCTGGCGAGCTGAGAAACTATTATTAAAAACATTATTCAAAATTCTCATTCCTCCCCGACATGGATTAATACCAGTTTCTTTTCCTGCAATTTGCTCCAGGCTACATCTCTTCCATGAGATGAGTAGAAGGACTTTGTTGTTTTCGTCTGTCTTTAAAATAGTATGATGAAAATACTATGTATGCTGCAAATGTACTTCACACGTGCTGCACGTTATTGAATCGTAGTACACCATTTAAAAAACAAAATTCTAAGGCCACTAGAATCTTGAGATTGCCAAAGAGCACCATTTCAAACACCCTGCGGGAGCCCCTTTTGGCTTTGCAGCTGTATAACCTAATGTGATTTGGTTTGAAGGCAACAAACAAAAGTGTTATAATTTTTTAAATCACAGCCCATTCGTCTTTGAAGATTTGACACCGATTTCCTCGCTTCGCAGAAAATTAGACAGGTATCTTGGCATGGATAATGCTCTCACCAATATCAAGCGTTAAGATTTAAGCTTATACCGCTGTTGTATTTTTTGTTTAACTGTCATTTGCAATCATATCGATGACAAGTGAAGAAAAGACGTCAACGTCGATCTTAGAAAAAAAAGTGAGAAGAAGGGTAAGTGAAAATATGTTTTTTCTGATAGCTTTTATAATCTGGTGAAATCTAAAGACTCTTAAATATAGCGAGGGAAATGTTGATTGAGAAATCATTTGCGCAATGTCGTTCTGTCAACCGCTTAATAGCACAATATATGCCGCCATGAAGTAAAGGAAAAAATTGGATCAAAATCATTGATTTCCCTCGTTCTCAGCTGTAAAAACAATGCGAGAGAGGTGGTTATGAGCCTTCCTGTTTGCCGATTGATAGAAGCTGGTTTTGTTGAATCCATAAAAACAGAGTGGAGAATTTCAAAGTGATTATTTCGTTCAAGGAAAACAGCAAAATGAACAAAAATTTCATTTATCACGAAAATAACAAATAAAGCGAAAAATTGTAACAAACATTTCCTCCGTCATCTTGTTCATTTCTTTTCAATTGGTTTTAATTTCCGCTTCAACCACAGTTATTATATTTTTTTGGTGTTTATTCGAAGGAACAGAAACTTGAGTGATAACCGTTAATATCTCTGAAGATGAAAAAGGTTCCCTTTCCACAATGATTTCCAGGCCTGCTTCTAGTTTTTAGTGTTAGTGAACACTCTTTTAGCGATATGAGTCTTTTTTAAACAGGAAAGCAATTCGTGCCCAATAAATTTGTCATTTGGATTCGCAGCACGCGCGAAAAAGAGTTTAATTAAGTTGGAAGGACAACACATTGGATAAATATCTGTTCCAAAAGAATAGAAAATGCTGCTGAAAAATATTATCATATCATTATATTCATAATTATTATTATCATTATTATTATTGTTATTGTTATTATTATCATTTTTATTGTTAGTATTGTTACTATTATTATCATTGTTATTATTATTCTTGTTGTTATTATTATTATTATTATTATTATTGTTGTTGTTGTTGTTATTATTGTTATTATTGTTATTATTGTTATTATTATTATTATTATTATTTTGGTATCACCTTTGTTATTATTTAACAATACTAAAATCGGGACGATTACTTATATTAAGTAAGATTGCAAAAACTGAAAGTTTATTTCTTTTTTTTAATTTTTATTTTAAGAAGAGGTTGACTGAACAGTCATATAATCTTGAACTAAAAGAGGCAATTATTTAGCAAGTTTAATATTATAATAGGAAAATGAAACGAGGTAATCTACATTCATTCTCTCATGTTTTTAACTAAAAAAATATATGTTTTTGTTTCTAATGTAAATGTTGGTAGATTTTGGTGGGTTCTATCTTCAGTGGATACTATCCCATTTTCATTGATATAGTGCCTGGGGGTCAGGGACTTTAAGTTGTCAGGACGGCAACGCCGGGGGCGAGGAAGAAGTCGATTAAAAAATATAAGGACCCACAACGGCGACGGCAAAAGAAAGTGGAAAAACCAAAAGATCATATGAGCGGGAAAAAAGCTCTTCAAGCGCGTTATAAGCTTTGTACATTTCTAAGTCATTCTCTGCAAAACAGCAACGTAAAATTACCAAAATTTGTGTGGTCTGAGAACGGAAATCTCGACAGCAAATAATTTTAGTTTCCCTTTGGAGCTTAAAGCTGCTCACGCACGTTATGTTGAAGTTAAGGTTTGGCTCCTGAAGAGACGGTAAACACATACAACCATTCGCGAAGTTCTAACTAAAAATATGAATTCACTTTTAAACGGCAACCTCGTCGGCGTTGCTTCCCCTGCTGCCCAAGGTCCCCTTTGAATTTATTTTTTTAGTTAGAATTCTGCCAATTAGTTGTCTAGTTGACACTTGGCTCCTTGACAGGGATGATTAAAAAGATGATAAATTAAAACTACGAAATGTATAACCTAAAATGAGAACAGGTGCTTCTGTTAATCGAACCAAGTGATGAATATTTACACATTATTTGCTTGTTATCGCACGAAGAACTTGAAGGCACCAAAAGGCGCTAAGTATATGAATTCGTTTATTTGTCGCTTCATATGGCACGAAACTACCACAATCATTTCAAAACCGTTTGACGCGGCTCTGGATAAAGGAAACCTAACAAAAAAATTCCTTTTTTTTCTATATGGGTAATTTTAAATTCTGTTGCCTCAAGCAAAATACATATACGTCAGTACTTATTAGGAGGGAGAAATTGAAAATTAGAGACAAACCTGTTATTAAAATGCGTTAAAGTTTCTGGCAAGATATTGGTGAAGATCCAACATCACTTTGTGTGTGTGCGTTAGCGTTAAAACTGGAGGCAATTTTAATTCATCTTGCCCATAACATCCGACGTACAACTCATCGTGTTACCGTAAGGCAAATCGAATGAACAAGCAAAGAGACGCCATCCTGTCTGGTTTGATAACTCAAACACCATCTGTTGACACAAACTGAACGTTCATAAACTTTGTTTTTGAACGTGATGATACTATCCTTGCCAATACTGATTAAGAACCGGCTAGATTGATTCTTAAGTTTGAAGTTTTTCGAGCAACACATACCCGCCTAGTTTTACATCTTTTTTTTATTTCTTGCCAGTAATAACGTCGGAACGTGGCGTACACACGCCTGAGGTTT